ATATATATATATATATATGATGTCGATATGTAAATGAGACATGAAGTGGGGTTGAGAGAATGTGATGCAGCACTAGAAAGTATAACAAAATATAGAGACGAGGAATTATTCCACAATGGTTGAATATAAAATTGGTCAAGTTATTTGCCTTCATTTGACACTTTTATAAATTGCACCTCTGTGCTAACAATTGAGCCCCTAGATGACATTGCCGACGAAGCGTCTAGAAATGTACCAAGTCAACTGTCCGATCCTGAAAATCATGAATACGATGGCAAAGGATATATATATGTATAGAGTATATATTTACAATTTAACCAAACTTTTCATGCAAAAGAAAAGGTCTAGTTAAATACAAGTGATTCTCAAGAACTAATGTATTAAAATTTTTCTCTCTAAGTTTTGCTTCATTAGCTATCTATCGAATCTCTAGCGTACTGATATACTGTATAATACCATTTAACATAGTCGGAATCATATTATAATTCTCCCCTTCACTAGTTTGTACTAATCTAATTCATTTATTACTACATAAGGTTTAAATTTGATCGCATCTTTTTGTTTGGCTCCATTTGGCTCCATTTGCCCATTACTATTGACACATTTGATATTGAACAGGAAATATAATTATTGAATAACGAATAAAATATTTCCACGGCCTGGCTACTATTGATATTTCAGTTATCTAATTGATCTAATTGCTGCTTGTTTAAGTTCATGCAAGGTAGGATGATTTTAACCTTTTCTGACCAAATCTTAGTCCTAATCGTCTTAGAATATTTTAATTTATCTGTATATTTCCTTACTACTAAAAACATATGATGTCTTACACATTTGTAAAATCCAACAGATCTTAAGCATCTAAAAGCCAGTCGACAAGTAAGGGATTTTCAGGAGCGTGTGGATAATCTACTTGCAGAACATGTGATGCTAACATTTCCTTTACTGCCTGACAAAGCTGACCAGCTGCGGCGGCGGATTCTCGGCCTTCAGCAAACCAGCCTATTGGCGCGCGCCATGCTGGCTGAACTTGATCTTTCGCCATATTTATCTTCAAACTCTCTTCTTATGGAGCTTTTACGCAGTGATATTCATCGTCACCATCAACACAGCCATAAACAGGTTCATGGAGAGGAGCCACTTGAGCCACATCAACAGCCACAACCTCAGATGCTAGAGGAGATGGCATATTCTTCGCAATTGGAGAACTCACTTGATACTTCCCCATGTCGACAGGGCGATAACGATCTTTTGGAAGTCGTGTATCCATCTGCCCAGCCGGCTCAAGTAGTAGAACACGACGCCAAACTTTCTGATCTTAAGGTCGAATCAAATAACGTCTGTGCTCCTATCGGCTTTAGATCCCCTGGCTACTCAACTTCCGAATCCATTCTCTTAACTGATGCTGAACCCTCAGTTGAGGCGCCAGATGGATGTTGCTCTGCATCTAAGCGTAGCTCAGCAGGCTCAACTTCAACAGCCTTGCCCGGCTCAGTTGTATTTGCTTCAGCAGACGAGATTTTGCTCATAACTACTCATCAGAGCCCCTCTTCCCCGAACCTTGTTTCTCATCAACAGCATATCAGATCAGCAACATCCTCGGATGCTAGAGAGAGCTTATCTCTCCACATACCGGAACCTGATAAGATTTCTGTTACATGCACCTTCCCTCATTCTATTCATAACTCAGTTGGAAGAAATTTAGATCACCCAAATAATACAGAATCTCCAATTTCTTAGTTTGGATTTATTGAATTTTCAAAAATGATCATGGTAAGTGAACCATGCGTTTTACATCATATTCATTTTTCATACCCTAAGCTTCGAATCGTTAATTTATTAGCTAAATACAGCTTATTTATCTAGTGTAAAATCTAAAAAGCTGCTGATGCTCTGCCTAATTAATATTATATATATATACTTATTTAGCATTTAGATCTACTCTAGTTTTTCCTTGCATTCTATGTAATATTTCATTCCTACTGTAGCATAACAAGGTCTCATCGTCACCTTTTTCTTTCTTTTTTACTCAAAGATTTTAGCTATAGCTTTATTTTGGATAGAAAAATAATGCAATATTTAAAAATTTTATTGTCCTTTTGCTTTATTAACAAATATCACTTTTGATTTTTTTATTTTCTTCCATAGCTGGTGTAAAGCTATCATTCCAGC